CATTATCGTAGTAACCAAAAATATTTCCCTCTATTTCCAAGTTCACTACTTGGCGTTGCGTATTCGTGAACCGCCGTTTTCGACTCTTGTATCCGAAACATATGCCCCATATTGACGTGTTTCGGATACAGGAGTCGAATCTAGCGGCTCACAGTTCACACGACACTGAATGGTGAGTTTAAAAGTTCCAGGAAACTGTGGACCCGATCTCGCCAAAAAAGAAAAAAAGAAAAAAAAAAAAAATTCACGTTCTACTAATTTCCATATTGGTGTGAGTCAAGTGGTTCGTGAATTTATGCGTAGAAATTATTTGTCAAAATCTATCTTGTCTTTGTTTGTTTACATTTTATTATTATTATTATTATTTTTTATATATATTGAGATCACGGTGTTATCAACTCTCACTTTCAATTTAGCTTGTATTTTTCACTTATTTTAACTTATTTACATATCAGGCAGTGGGAACAAGGACAAGGACAATTAGAAGTTACTTTATCTTACGTATTACTATAACTATTTATTCCTATCCTTACTTACCACAACCAACTTTAGTACAAATTTCTCATTACATCGTCCACCCTTTTCAGGTTACTAACCCGGTCGTTACAGTTATACGATCAGTTATACGATCATTAAATTTCTGCTCAACAGGGTTTATGCTGGTTCCTTTAACGACTGGAAAGCCAACGGCGGCAGTGTACTTAACCCTGGGAAACCTTACGCGCCTCAGAATTAAGGGGAGAATGGTCTTTGGTCGTGGACTGTACCTCTTATTGTATGAATTGTATGCTTGTCTTTTTTATGCTTCTGAACAACACTCAGTATTATTGCATTTTTTTATTATGATGTTTAAATGTTACTGATGGAAAATAAACGCGAAGGAATGTATGTTTTTTTTCTGTTTTGTTATTCCAGTTTATATATATATATATATATATATATATATATATATATATATATATATATAACAACAGATTGAGACTATTTTATTATCTCTCCTCGCGTTCCTCATTCCTCTTTCAGACATGAAATTGGTATTTCCTTAAGAACGTGGGTGTGGCATAATTCTGACTATTATAAGCATATTACGAAATAGTTGTAATGCAGAAATAACCACTTTCAGGTAGTGTATACCATACGTATGTGTAAGGTATGAATTAAAAAATGAAATGTAATACACACAATTGCCTTCTCTGGAGCAGCACTGGTACTGTAGTAAATATATAGAAAAATAATGATAATGTTTGGTTCCACATTTTTTTCCTCTTTTCTCTATGCATTTCATCTGTACTCTTTTCTCTCGCTATATTTCCCTCTTCTTTCCAAACATCAGTTCTCTCCCCATCTTTATTTCCACGATTCTTATGCACCATTGTTTTCATTCTTCTATTATCACATTATTATTCTCATATTGCACTGACCCCCTGGTCTTTGCCTATCCCCTGCATTTCATCACTTCGTTTTCTCTGCAATATGCAATGCGCTTTTCTCGTCATTCTTGCTGTCTGCCATGAAATATCACATTCTTTTATAGGGAATTGAGTATGACCGGTAATCTAACAATGTAGTACCAAGGCAATAAAACCATAACAAAATTGGTTTGGTAGAGAGTTGACAAGTCTTAGCACCAAATAATTAAGTATTAGACAGAGCTCTCTCCAAAGCGTCCGTAAGAAACCCACAAACCCACATTACAACATGCTAAACATCACCCAAACAAAACAAAGCAAAACATTGGCTGAAGTGAGTCAAGAATACCACATTTTTGCAACATCACCCGTACAAACGAGCTCTCTTCAGTAAACAAACGACAATGACTTGGACACAATCACGGGGACAAACTTGAGATGTATGGTGATAATGAAATCATTCCTTTACGAGGCTCTGATATGGCAGGACAGTAACGATGACACGCAGAATCTGATACTGATACTGAATAGTAAGGAGGTATGGCGGTATGCCGACTGTGCTAGGAAGGATCGTATAAGAATTACAACTTCGTGTATATCTTTAATGTTGTTATGGAAAAAGAATACAGTTTCAAAATTCTTGAACCTTTTTTTCCATTCTTTACTTATGTTTCTCGGAGCCTTTGTAAAGTACATTGGGAACATGAGAAGCCATAACAGACAAGCATGGAAGTAATGACGGTTAGCATTTTTATTCTATATCTATGCTGCTTCTTAAGATTTCATATAAAACTAACACATAAATGAGAAAGCTAATAAAGATTGCATTGTTCTGTATAAAAGACACAACCAGACAGTAGTATGTAATATGTTATATAGAAAAGAGTTAATAAAAAAAAAAAAAAACTAGAATGCGATTTGAGAAAACGATTGAACTAAAAGGAAAATGCTTTTATTAAAAGAGAGAGAGAGAATTGTACTACAAAACCCACTTGTGACAGATGCAGTTCCCCCTCAAAGAAAAGAAAGAAAGAAAGATAAAAAAGAGGATTAGGTAAATTTCAATAGCTGTTGTCAAACATGACCTCTGATTTAACTTTATCCTTTGCTCTCTTATTCTGTAGTCACTAGAACACATGTTCCTCTTTCCTCTTTCAAGTTCCTCTTAAAAGTCCCATTGGCTTCTCGAGTTTGTATGTTCGAAAATACTAAACGTGCCCTACCTGAATTTTATTCAAGTACAATATTAAACTTCTATCACTTGGTGACTCCGATGAAGTGAAATTATGTGACATAAGTAGAATATTTTTTCAGGTAATATTGCAAACTACGAAACAATGTCGTTTCTTACTCAGACGAGCCAAACACTTTTTGATCTTCATCATATTTCCCCACAAGAATGTCATATTAAAACATATATCACCGAATACGTCAAACATATTTTGACAATACATTCACTCACATTGGTGCATTCAATCACAATTTTCAATCTATAGCAGTGGCAACAGTAATGTTAATACTTATTTCAAGAACATAAACATTGTCACCAATAATGATAATAATGACAATGATGGTGATAACAATAAGAAGAGTAACGATGACAACATAGTGACAATAAGTATTAGTAATCATAATGACAACAGAGACCACAATAATAAAAAATACATTGTTAATGACACCCCATAAAATACGGTTTTTGTGTTATGTTACTTGATACAGAAAACGGAAGAAAATTTAATGGGGGACATTACTAGAAAGATAGAGATAGATAGATAGATAGATAGATAGATAGAGAGAGAGAGAGAGAGAGAGAGAGAGAGAGAGAGAGAGAGAGAGAGAGAGAGAGAATGAGGAAGTGAGGGAAAGAAGGAAGAAAGAAGTAAGGGAAGGAATGAAGAAGGGAGATATATAGATATATATAGAGATAAAGAGAGAGAGAGAGAGAGAGGGGTATATATATATATATATATATATATAGATAGATAGATAGATAGATAGACAGATAGAGAAAGAGAGAACAAGGAAGTGGGGGAAAGAAGGAAGAGGGGCACATGTTCTTCTTTCCTCTTAAAAGTCCCATTGGCTTCTCGAGTTCGTATGTTCGAAAATACTAAACGTGCCCTACCTGAATTTTATTAAGTACAATATAAAACTTGAATCAATTCGTGACTCCGATGAAGTGAAATTATGTGATATAATTAGAATATTTTTTCAGGTAATATTGCAAACTACGAAACAATGTCGTTTCTTACTCAGACGAGCCAAACACGTTTTGATCTTCATCATATTTTCCCCCAAGAATGTCATATTAAAACATATGTCACCCAATACGTCAAACATATTTTGATAATGCATTCACTCACATTGGTGCATTCAATCACAATTCTCAATTTATAGCAGTGGCAACAGTAATGTTAATACTTATTTCAAGAACATAAACATTGTCACCAATAATGATAATAATGACAATGATGGTGATAACAATAAGAAGAGTAACGATGACAACATAGTGACAATAAGTATTAGTAATCATAATCAACAGAGACCACAATAATAAGAAATACATTGTTAATGATACCCCATAAAATACGTTTTTTTGTGTTACATTACTTGATACAGAAAACGCAAGAAAATTTAATGGGGGACATTACTAGAAAGATAAAGATTGATAGATAGAGAGAGAGAGAGAGGGGGGGGTATGAAGGATAGAGAAAGATAGATACAAGGAAAGAAAGGGAGGAAGAGATGGATAGATAGATAGATAAATAAATGAATAAATAAATATATATATATATACATATGTATATATATATATATATATATATATATATATATATATATATATATATATATATAGAGAGAGAGAGAGAGAGAGAGAGAGAGAGAGAGAGAGAGAGAGAGAGAACAAGGAAGTGGGGGAAAGAAGGAAGAGGGGAAGGTAGGGAAAGAATGAGGAATATGGGGGATATATAGATATATAATGAGACAGAGAGAGAGAGTGGGGGGTAAGAAGGATAGAGAAAGATAGATAGATACAAGGAAAGAAAGGGAGGAAGAGATAGATAGATAGATAGAGAGAGAGAGAGAGGAGGGCATGAAGTGATTTTGTTGAATATATCCGTCTGTAGCAAAGAAAATGTGTTTCTATATGATTCATACTTCCTTAATTAGACCTATTATTTACACGTATCTATCTCTGTGCACACAACTTACTGTCTCTAATTAGTTATTCTTGTCTTTATATTTATCTTATCTTTATTTAGTTTTACAGACAATCTTTATTTTTTCAGTCTCTATCTTACAGTACCTCCACTGTCCTCAGCCGACTCCAACATATCTACAGCCGTGACAATGACGAAGTGACCTTAGAACACGCTAATGCAACCCTTATTGCTCGTAAGCAGCTCCCATGCTATCAATCTGAATTCTTTGTGTATAATTATGTCTTGTTTATACTCAAAATGTTCGTTAGAAAATGCTTATTCTGAATCACTAGGTATATTATCGCCTCGCTCCTCCCTGGGCGTCTCTGCCGCTCCTCTCCTCTGTACTCCAGCTACTACTACTATACTACATAAAATGAAGAAACTATGACAACTTTAACTTAACACCTCAAGAACAAACAAGCAGTACCATCACAGCGGGGATACGTCCTCCCCGCATCATTACACTGGCGGCAGCAAGTGGGATAAACATCACCACATGGTAGACACATTGGTGCTATCAGGTGGGATAACTCATCACATCGTCCTACATCATTACAGTTGGAGAGAGAGAGTGAGAGAGAGAGAGAGAGAGAGAGAGAGAGAGAGAGAGAGAGAGAGAGAGAGAGAGAGAGAGAGAGAGAGAGGAGAGAGAGAGAGAAGAGAGAGAGAGAGAGAGAAAGAGAGAAAGAGAGAGAGAGAGAGAGAGAGAGAGAGAGAGAGAGAGAGAGAGAGAGAGAGAGAGAGAGAGAGAGAGAGAGAGAGAGAGAGAGAGAGATAGACAGACAGAGAGAGAAGATAGAGAGAAGATAGAGAAGAGAGAGAGAGAGAGAGAGAGAAGAGAGAGAGAGAGAGAGAGAGAGAGAGAGAGAGAGAGAGAGAGAGAGAGAGAGAGAGAGAGAGAGAGAGAGAGAGAGAGAGAGAGAGAGAAAGAGAGAGAAGAGACAGAATGATAAAGTGAAAGTGCACGAAATCAACTCTTTTAACATCCATTGCGGCTTGATATTAATTCTACACTCTTGACAACAAAGGCACTAACTATAATATTTATCCAACCTACTCTGTTTACACCATCATCATCCCCAGAAAGTTTAAGATGAAAGTGAAGTTGCTAAGCACTTATTCTTTTTACGAGCAGTAACACTAAAACCAACACTCCTTTATTTGCGAGAATGAGAATTTTTTCCCCATTTAAAAGTTCTATATATCTCGGAAGTAATCAAGATGTTTTCTCTGAGAAAAAAAAATGTATCTGAAAAAAAGAAGCCGAAAACTTGCTTACAAAAATAAGAATGATAATATTATAATGATAATGATGATGGTAGTAGTAGTAGTAGTAGTAATAATAATAATAATGATAATAATAATAATAATAATAATAATAATAATAGTAATAATAATCATAATAATAAATAATAATAACAATAACAACAGTAACAACAACGATAATCTAATAAAACGACAATTAAAAAAGACATCTAAAGGTCCCCATAATGCCTGTTCAACGGGAGAAAGTGGTTAAGTACTGAGCATCTCCTAAATATGTCAGGGACTCTGTACCCAGGGACCTCGCATTCAGCTACGTCTGTCTTGCGTTTTGTTAATTAACTGGATATTTCATTGATTATGATCATTGTTATTATCATTATTGTCATTATGATCATTATAATCATTATTATTATCACTGTTATCATTATTATTATAAATATTAATATAATTAGCTCTCATCGTTGTTATCATTATTATCAACATTTTGATGTCTCAGCAAAAAAAACACAGTATCTTGTTTGCGAAACCTCTTTCTCTGTCTCTGGGTCTCTCTCTCTCTCTCTCTCTCTCTCTCTCTTTCTCTCTCTCTCCCTCTCTCTCTTTGTCTATGTCTCTCTCTGTCTGCTCGTCTCTCTCTCTCCTGTCTCTCTCTCTCTCTCTCTCTCTCTCTCTCTCCCTCTCTCTCTTTGTCTCTGTCTCTCTCTGTCTGCCTGTCTGTTCGTCTCTCTCTCTCTCTCTCTCTCTCTTTCTCTCTCTGTCTGTCTGTCCGTCTCTCTCTCTCTCTCTCTCTCCTGACTCTCTGTCTGTCTGCCCGTCTCTCTCTCTCTCTCTCTCTCTCTCTCTCTCTCTCTCTCTTTCCCTCCTTTTTCTCTGTCTGTCTATCCGTCTCTCTCTCTCTCTCTCTCTCTCTCTCTCTCTCTCTCTCTCTCTCTCTCTCTCTCTCTCTTTCTCTCTCTCTCCCTCTCTCTCTTTGTCTATGTCTCTCTCTGTCTGCTCGTCTCTCTCTCTCCCTTCCACTCTCTCTCTCCTGTCTCTCTCTCTCTCTCTCTCTCCCTCTCTCTCTTTGTCTCTGTCTCTCTCTGTCTGCCTGTCTGTTCGTCTCTCTCTCTCTCTCTCTCTCTCTCTCTCTCTCTGTCTCTGTCTGTCCGTCTCTCTCTCTCTCTCTCTCCTGACTCTCTGTCTGTCTGTCCGTCTCTCACTCTCTCTCTCTCTCTCTCTCTCTCTCTCTCTCTCTCTCTCTCTCTCCCTCCTTTTTCTCTGTCTGTCTGTCTGTCCGTCTCTCTCTCTCTCTCTCTCTCTCTCTCTCTCTCTCTCTCTCTCTCTCTCTCTCTCTCTCTCTCTCTCTCTTTCTCTCTCTCTCTCTCTCTCTTTTCTCTCTGTCTGTCTGCCTGTCTGTCCGTCTCTCTCTCTCTCTCTCTCTCTCTCTCTCTCTCTCTCTCTCTCTCTCTCTCTCTCTCTCTCTGTCTCATACTGTCTAGATTTTCCCTTGATTTTTATTTCATTTTTAATCTATCATCTAAAAAATGCAACATTTCGCACTAACACCGGTTATGATTCAATCAGCCTGCCCCGTATTTTCATCGACAGGGTAATTGAATTGTACTTAATGTTGTTGTCCT